ATACAGGCCAGGATGGTGTTGGCCTTCTTGGCCACCTGGGCCAATAGCATCCTTCTTTCTTTTTTTCTGTGCCTATACAAATTTAGTTTGTCTCTCCAGTCTTGGAATAATGTTAACTCAAAGGCTCCAGTACTTCCACTTGCAATGCACTTGCTTCTCTTCAAATTTCCTGCAGACTGAAATGCAGTTTATTGTCGCTAAAATTGAGAAATGGTATGCCCGACTTGCTGGGAAATGTTACGACATTTTGGTCAGTAACCGAACAGAGCTATGGGCAACAGAGTTTGCAAGTAATATGAAGAATGGAAGAACGGTAAAGAAATGTAGTAGCACTGCAACAGTAAAAATTACCTCAACCTTCTGCAAAGCTGGGTCTGTTAAACAACAGTGTTCCAATATAGATAAAATGATAAATGTAAGAGCACAGAACACTGGCTTCTGATCCCTTTTCTAGAAGTACATGACAAAGGTCTTCAGGTTCACAGGAAAGACAACTTCTAAGGTTTGAGTAGAACAAGGTGGCAACAAGCTCCCTTGGTTGGATGTGGCAGTAGTGCGACTGAGTCTAGACACACTGCAGAAGTCTGCTCTTCTTTGGAGCAGAACATGGGAGACAGAGGATCCTGAGAATGAGCAAGGCCTTGAAGAAAATTCCTTGTATCAGCATGAAAACTGCAATCATATCTCTTAGTATTTAAATATCTCCTTAGGAGAAAAAATGCACAATTCAAAAGATTTCTAAACTCAAAGAAAATAGTAACAAGAAGCAGTGGCTCCAAATGGCTGTCAGACATTCAGAAACTGGAAACAGACCATTTATTTTATAATTTGATAAAAAATTAAATGCTGGAACAGGATACCAAAGAATTCTCTATTTCCCCAATACCTTTACATCAAGATTAAATATTTTTCTGAAATAAATTATTTTATTTTCTAAAGGATATCAGCGTGACAGGTAATTTAGGATACATATGAGATGAGATTCAAGCACTTAATACTCTTTTGTATATGAATTCTATGGAGAGCTATGCTACAAATGTTTCATTACTATACTGTAATAACCTGCATTGTTCTTGTGATATTAATACAAGGGATGAATAGTAGCAATTTCATGCTATAAACCAAATTATTTAATTAAAAATACAACATGCTTATATCTCTTGACTTTCTTACATTAATATCCTTAAAAAAAACCAACTGTATTTGGTGACTCATAAAAGAGGGGGTTTTATTCTTCTCTCCTCCCTCCAAAATAATAGTGCAAGGTTTTCTTGTTCCTCACAGCTTCCTGACATCGACATGGGACTTTCATGTTTTAACCTCCTAACCACCACACTGTTACAAAGAATTTGTATTTAAAAATTGAGGTTGTAATATCCAGAATGCATTTTTTTCCCAACACAAATTGCAGTAAAATAGCAGCAATTATTTTAGGCTGCAATTTGAAAACAAAAGACTGAATGACAAATTACTGAGTGAAGACAATATAAAAACAAGTATTAGTCCAAATCCAACCATGCAGATAAACAAAAAAAAGTTGTACTCCACGCTAGTTTGGCTAAAACAGTGATGGATAAGACAATCTGTCACAACAATGAATTATGGAGAAATATTTGGGATTACTAAAAATAAATTGAAATCTTAGGTTAGCTTGGATCATACAAAAAATAATCATGCTTGGAATAACATCTCTGTATAGGGTAGCAATACATGACGATAATCACATCTGGAACACTGCTTGAGGGGACCATTAAAGATGAAGTTGAATAAAGAGCGACAAGCCTGTTGATACGTAATGAAGGAGAACTGTGAAAGAGACATATGTATCAGATCTAGTCACTATTTTCAGGCTGACTTCCTAAGGAAATGAGGTTTATGCCACCAAACTGCCTGTCTCATCTGTAGGGTTACTCTGCAATTCCACATTAACAATTTGCATTCTATTAGCCCATTTTAATCAAATTGGATTGGGAAGAAGAAATATTGAGTGTCCAAAGTTCTTAACTCGTCATATATCAGTGGCATGGTAAGAAAGAGCAATCTGTATCTTAGCCTCACTGGTGGCACTTACTACAACATCACTTTAACAGTTACCTGTCCTCTCTGCCTGCCAACCAGCTGATCAGTTTGTGTAGCACTTGTAACCACTCAATGCTGGACATAGGGATTCATCCTCCACTAACCAGAAGCAGTCCTTAAGACCTGTTTTATGTTCAGACATGTTTGCTTCTAAATTTGAGAGGGTTAAAGTTATTTTTCTTGGAACAAAGAAATACAGCTAACTATAGAAATTAAAAAACAAAAATCACCTGCTACCCAAGGACAAGTCACCTTTGTTGATAAAATATCCAAGCCAATTTACCAAGTTTATCTTATTAAGAACCTGTATACTTTTACCTTTTTATCTATAATGCTTTATTTTGAAAAAGCGTGAGAGCAGTGATTAATAGGATTTGTGCACATCTAGTGGTTCTGTAATCACGAAAGCAGTACAACTCATAAGTTGTAAAGCTTTATATTATTTGGTCAAAGGTACAAACCACTAAGAACATAAGTTCAAAGAATAAGGTCAAAGAACACACGTACAAAGCACTCATTTGCTCTCACCTTTAGAGACACAATTATATCTTGAAAACATGGGAAAACTGCAAACATGTTTTGGTTAGAATCAAGTAGCAAAAAAAATTTTAAAGAACCCAAAAATTAAAAAAGCTACTATCATAAGCAACAGCTTAAAATGCACCTTAAATTTCCCCTTCAGAAACTTTATATTTAACATGGACTGTAGATTTTCTTGCTGAAGATACTGCACTAGTTACCGAAAGTACCACAGAGTGCTTCACAGCCTTCGAATTACAAAGATACTGTTGACAGTTTTGGTTGTTGAACTGCTCAAGCAGACAATTAAATACATAATGACAGAAAGCTTTGTTTTGGTTTGGTTTTTTTTAACTAAATATAGATGTTCACATGAAGCTTCCTAATCCTCTTACATAAACCTGTAAGTTCATATATAATACTAGTGTAAAAAGATACTACACTAAGATATTTCATATCAAAACCACTTTATAACAAAAACAACTTTTTTTTTTAATAACCAAAACAACCTGGTTTAATTTATGGAATTGGACTAACTTTGTCACATATGGACACAGTCCATCCTCTAATAAAAGCTCTTCACAGATGAACAGAAAAGATCAGATCTAAAGTAATCCTTACATTACTGCACTATTTTTATTTCTGTCACAACTAACAGCTGATTCTTTCAAAACTGTTTCTTTGAGCTAAAGGTAACACTCAGCCTTCTATTTTTTGTCTCGACTCTATTTTTAAGCAATTTCTTATATACATTGATCTTTCAGTGGACATCTATATTAGTATGTTAACACTCCAGAGTTCTCTTTAAGCATTAATTTCCGTTGTGTTGACACAAGGAATCACTGACACACTGAATCAGGCATACCACTGGTCTGCTCGAAACAGGTTCCCACCTGATGAAGCTGCAAACCTTAACACCCCCCAGTCTGGGCAGAAGATACCCTCCCTCAGGAGGAAAGCGCACCTGTGGCTTCTACAGCAGTTTGTGCGGCTTCTACAGCAGTTTTCTCCTTACGCATGCATGGGACTCTGCTGGTAAGGGCAGGACAATCAGGTAGTACAAAAGAAGTTTCTTTACAGACAATTCTACAAGGTACAGATACAAAGCACATGCCTTGGATGAGAAACTGTTGATCAGCAATGAAGTTTACTGCAGTGTGGACTTTTGTTACTAGAATGGTAATGGATCACCAAAAAAAGAAAAAAGATAAAAACTCAGTCATTCTGAGACACATGCTTATTGAAGCACCCTTTTTTACACTTAAACAGTATCTAAATAGCACTGCATGTTCTTTAACAAGTCAGGCCATATGCTACAAATAGCTAGCAGTAAAATTAGCAGTGCTAAATGGTATTCACATAATTCCTTGAAGGAAGAGGATTTCCTCACCTGAATCATATGAATTTTCAGCAGTCATCATTAGCACCTCTTGTAATAATCTATTTGACTGTTTACTTTGCCTTGGACTTCCATTAGAGATTGGTTCCTTGTAGTTTGTTATGCTCGAAGGTAACCTGCCTTCTTCATGGAGAGCATGACTGTAATGTTTCACATATCCAAACGGCCCAATGGTCGAAATGGGAGAAGATTCTCCACCAGAATCTGTTTTATCTGAATTTAAAACATTTGTAATCAGTTTAGGTATAGAAATGCAGTGTTTTGCACTTCATGAAAAACACTGACGCACATTCTGTTCTACAGAAATAACCTGCTGAATTCATACAGTACTCCATTTTAATAAAGTTAGCCATATCAGGTCAATAAAAACCTTTGTATTACACAGTTTATGGATTATACAGGTTGAGAGATTATGCAGGTCATAGACATCTCACAAAATAATTCTTAACTCAACTAAAATATTTCTTCCAAAAAGATTCAAACAAATTTTTCCACATAGCAAATCCACCAAAACTTCCAGTAATTTTTCCAAATCCAGAGGCAATATAACTTCTCTGCTCTGGCTTAAAGATTTTTCTCCCCAACCCACACAACATCCCTTTTTGGCCACCCAATCCAATAGAAAACTCAAGTCCCACTTTTTACTACCTACCATGACCAATGGTTAGATAATATAGGAATAAATCACCTGTGGATCATAATGGGATTACACAGCAAATGAGTATTCCCTACTCTAGAATTCCACAGGATAATATTTCATAAAACTTTTTTGGTATGTATTTTGGTTTCTAATCTTTTTTTTTTTTTTTTTTTTTAAATTAAGATATGTAAGACTAAGTCAAGTGCTTTTCAGAATATAAATATATTCTTCAATCAAAACTTTCACCAACAAAACTTGTTGTCTAATCAAGATACCAAACTGGTCTAACAAGAATTATTCTGCATAAACTGATGCTGACTAGCATTAATTACTTTTCTTTAATTAAAAAACGTCCCATATCAGCTGTTTCATTTCATTATTTTGCTCAAGACAAATGCCAAGATGAATTAAGATGAACCTCTGAAATTTTTTACAAAGAGCGTTTTGTAATTGAAAAAACCCAAAAAATGGGTCTAAAAACTTGGTCTAGATGGTCTAGAAATTTGATACTAACTCCTTATTTAAAAGATTTCACACTCATCTTCTTGATATGCTCAAAAGCTAAGCCTTTAAACACCTTCCATCAACTCTGATGGTTCTCTTTACAATTATTGTACAATTGTCTACTAACACAGACCCCACCCAACAGAAAAATCAACAGGGAACTTAAGTCATGGAACTATGGTGAATTTTCTTTTCTTGGTGAATTTTTGTTTCAATTATGTTTTTCTAGACAGACACTGACAGGATAAGCTTTTCTCAACTATAACTCACTTTGCTAGTATATAAATTATGCCTTAAAAAAAAGGCAACAGTATCAGCATTATTTCATGATCAATCATTTCAAAGACTCTTCAGAAAAGATTAATTTCCTCCAATCTGTATTTCTCAGGAACAGCAGCATTTATTATATATTTTCTATCCACATATATATATATTTTACCTGCAAAAGAAATGTTGTAACTCTTCGGTGTGTCTACCTCTAGTATAGCACTAAGTTCATGTTGTTCCAAATCAAGCCCTAACTTGACTTTTGCCACAGGTGGTTTGGAAGATCTCCATTTCTGTTCTCTACATAGAACTTTCTCAGACTGTTCTGTAAAACAAAGTTTTGCATGTTGCAATTTTTTT